CGCATTTCCTTCAAATATATGAGTATATATGTACATACTTCCAAAGTCATTTACATAACTGCATTACTAACCTTTTCTAGGGCCTCCTTACATTTGTGAAAGTTCTCGACTACAACTCCGACGAACATATTCAGTACGAAGAATCCGACAAGCAATAGAAACGATATGAAGTAGATCATACGCCACTCATTGTAATTCTCGATTGGCTAAAATTAGAAGCTTTTCAGCTAGGATTGACCAGTAGGGCTACTTCTGCGACTGCTGGTAATTCGTAAGATTAGAAGTACTGCGCAATCCACATGTCATATATCACGTCCTACTCTCGACTGTTTCCAGAGCTGCCCAACAAACCTGAATATCCACTCCCACTGCATCTATTCCTTGATACATAATAGAAACCCAACCGTCCTTACTTGACAACACAAAGAGTGACATCAGCGCCTGAACAATAGAAATCACGTTGTATCAAAACGAGCAGGACTACTGCGCAGGTGTATAAACCAATTACCTGTCCCAAATTGTCAAAATTATACCGATGATTAACCCATTTATTACGCGGATCTTCGAGGCAGTCTGCTTTGTTGGTAACATTGGCTATATCTGGCCCGACACAGTGGAACATCATACCCTGAAATCGTTCTCTTTTTCATATGTCTTTTGATCATTAGGCACTGTTCGGCTCAGGAGGGGAGCATTTTGCCAGTGGACCACTTTATTCCCGGAATTCGATGGACTTCACAAGGTGGCCTGTGAAAGCTTTGCTGAGCCCTATTTGGTTCCCCCACCAAATCGAAGTGCGCCGATGAGTTATGTCGAATTTCTTCAGATATTTCACCCTTGTCTTCCACGTTTCAACCTCGAGCATCAAGGATTCATCAGTTTATGCGCCTCAAAGAACAAACTTCCTATGAATTTCCCATAGCCTCAGATGCCCTTTGCGTGGTCTGGAGAACCACGTGGGCAACTTCGAGATACCCACGATTGAGGTCCTTAATTCAGAGGAAGACCGAGATTGAGCGCTGTTCAGCTTGTGATGGGCATTTTGAATTTCTCCTGTTCCCCGTTGTTTTGCAAGTTGGTGTGAACTAACAGGATAACTAATGTAAAGCTACAAAATTGTATAATTAGCCATTCTGATTTAAAGAACTAACAGGACTTCACAGGGTGGTCTGGACATGCTTCCCTGAGCAGCGTTTGGTGTCCCAGCAAGCCAATCTGCGTCCCGAACTTGTCCTCTTTTCGAGCTAATATCGACATTTGTTAAGGTGTTGCTTTGTGCTCTTGCGACACGAAACGCAATGGGAGAGGGCTTTACAAAGGAAGTAGCCCAAATATCAAGAAAGAGCTGCAGCAATGCGCCACGTCGAAGATAAAGGCCTTTCCCTGTCCAACAATGTCGCCTGACCAGGGCACATCATCGCTGGGGATTCCCCAACCAGGGTAGGGGTCGTATCTGGCCGCTGGGGAGGAGGGGAAACGTATAATCTGAGAAAATTTTTTTGATAGTTGATTTTTTGTTTCGGGAGCTATAAAGGGGGGGGGGGTGGGTGTTTGCCTTATGATTTTTTGAGAGAAGCTGTTCACTTTTCGTGGTTTTTACTGTTTCACATGTGCTATATACCCCCGCTGGACAGCTCGATGGTGCTGGTAAGTAGGGGGGAGGAGGTCGTACGTACTCGACCAAAATCCCCAACTAATGATGTGCACTGCGCCTGACTACGCTTCTTTCTGTGAATGAAACATTCGAAGTCTGCAGACACTTTAGCGACTTCAATCAACATTACACGGGCAAGCCATCTCACTCGTTGCACAGCGCTGGCAACATCCTTTCTCATTTTCGGCTCAGTTCCCCACTATTTTCAGCTTTCGTGGTTGAGCGAGCGCGTTAATGTGAACTACGAAGCGCAGGCCTCGATCGATCCTCAGGACGCCTGCTCCAGGAAAAGGCAAAAAAAAGTTGAAACACACATTTCCGTATGGACGGCAGAGATGATGAGGATGTTGTTCATCGAAAGTGCATTGCCAGTCAGTGTGTCAAGGTTTTTGTTGGAATTATTTATTATGGGAAGAAAAAGGCGCTCAAACTTCTCTAACTCTAACAGTACATGTGCCACCTTGATAAATTAGAAATAAGATAAATGTGAGATAAAAAAGGCCTACCTTGAAGAGTTGTACACCAAGTATTCCAAAGATGATGAAGAAGGTGCAGCAAATGAGTACAATGTTCCCGATAGGTTTCAGACTGCAAAGAAGAAACACTTGTAGAAACAGAAGTACAAATACTCGCTTTAGTTGTGAATATCATTCTTGTCAAGTAAGTAAAGCGATAAGTGATCAATAAACTGAACCTAGCACGTCTTCAGAGTTTCTACTTGACCCAGAGATCGGTTAGTGCGAAACTCTGGCGCGAGCTTAAAGGCAGTTGGCACGATAAATCCCCCAAGACGACTAGGATCAATACTCCTGGCAGGATAGAATTCCGCGACCCTGGGCAGGCGCTGCATAGCGGTTTCCCCGAGGAAGGTGCCCTTATAAGGGCCCTATCAAGCCACAACTTTACGTCCCAAACGCCCGCCACGCCCGCCCGCCCACAAATGGACGACCGTTCCTGACGCTCGTATTCATTCATTTGCTAAGCAAATTATGAAGCGAAGGGATTGGTATGAAGCGGCCGTGATGCTGCATGCATATGCAGCCGTATCTTCGGTAGCGGTGATTGGTAAGATGCCTACGGGAAACTCGTCCGAAATCGATTTACAAGTCACTGAGAACGGAGGCTTTTTCTTCGCAGGATTTTGACCGTTTCACTCCGTTCTTTCGCCATTTCCCCACTATACAGCGCCCTACTAGCATTTTAGGCTAAGTAGGAAACCATCGTGCCAACTGCGTTTAAGTGAGAGGCGACTCTTTCTTCGCATTTTATAAGGAAACGCTGAAGCAAAATCTTCCAGGAAAAGAGGGGCAAGTAAGGCAGCAGCAAGGGTTAAAAATTACTATAATGTTTAGTCACTTACCCTTGGTACCCTTCTTGGTTATTTTATTTTCTATCAGTATAAAAAGAAATGAAGAAGCAAGGCTTTATTTAAAGAATCTAAACACCCGCAAATGAGTCTCAAAGGCAGAGCCCACGATCACTTATAATTATCTGGTCAGATATTTATAGGGGAGGTAGTGTAGTGTGTCGAGCAATCATGTATGTTTCTCGTCAGATATCGGTAAGACAGTAGCTGCAAAGCACAAAGGTGCTCAAGTGACTCCGTCAAAAAGTCAGTGGCCCGCCCACGT